TGAGTCAGTGATGCCATCCAACCATCTCATCCTCTGTCGTCCCCTTCTCCCTCTGCCTTCAATCTTTCCCAGCATCAGGGTCTTTTCCAATGAGGCAGTTCTTCACCATCAGGTGGCCAAAGTATTGGAGTTTCAGCTTCAACATCAGTAGACAATGTTAGGCTGGTGAAAAAGTAATCATGGTTTCAGACTGTGAGTTTTAAATCATTATAACTAGACTCAAACACATCTTCATTAATCAAAATAGGAACCATTACAATCAACACATTTTTGCCAACAAGAAATGTTTATTCCTGTAGCATAAAAATCCGTGGTTCAGGATTCAACGAACTTTTGGAAAGCATTTTCTGCCTCCTGCTGTTTGTGGAAGTGTTTCCCTGCAAAAAAATTGTGGAGATGCTTGAAGAAGTGGTAGTCAATTGGCCAGAGGTCAGGTGGATCAGTGGTAAAGAGTCTGCCTGCAGGGCAGGAGACCACTGACCCTTCTCCCAGAGAAGGAAGTGGCAACCCACTCCAGGATTCTTGCCTGGGAAATCCATGGACAGTGGAGCCTGGCGGGCTACAGTCCGTGGGGTCTCAAAGAGTAGGACACGACTGAGAGATTAACGATGTCACTTCAGGTGAATATGGTGGATGAGGCAAAACTTTGTAATCCAATTTGTTCAACCTTTGACGCATTGGCTATGAGACATGCAGTTGGGTGTTGTCGTGGAAAAGAATCTGTTCCTTTCTGTTGAGCAATATGACCTGCAGATGTTGCAGTTTTTGATGCATCTCACTGATTTGCTGAGCATTCTTCCCAGAAGAGGTAATGGTTTCACTGGGATTCAGGAAGCTGTAGTGGGTCAGACCAGCAGCAGACCACCAACAGTGACCATGACCTTTTTCGGTGCAAGTCTGGCTTGGGAAGTGCTTTGGAGCTTCCTCTCAGTCCAGTCACTGAGCTGGTCATCACCAGTTGTGACATAAATTTCACTTTTCATCATGCATGACAATTCGACTGAGGAATGGCTCACTGTTGTTGCACAGAACAAGAGAAGGCATCATTCCAAATGACGACTTTTTTGATCTGCTGTTGACGCATGAAGCACCCGCTTACTGCGCTTTTTCACCTTTCCAATTCGTTTCCAATGCCAAATGACCATAGAATGGTTGGTGTTGAGTTCCTGGGGCAACTTCTCCTGTAGCTGTAAGAGGATCAGCTTTGATGACCTGCTCAACTGGTCATTGTCCACTTCCGATGGCAGGCCTCCATGCTCCTCATTTCAAGGCTCTTGTCTTTTTTGCAAAACTTCTTGAAACACCACTGCACTGTACATTCATTAGCAGTTCCTGGGCTAAATGCATGGTTGATGTTGCGAATTGTTTCCACTGCTTTATGACCCAGTTTGAACTTGAAGAAGAAAATCATTCAAATTTGCTTTTTATCTAACATCATTTCCCTAGTCTAAAACAAATATAAAATAAACATCAAGTAATGTCATTAGCAAAAAGAAAATGAAAGAAAGCAAGAAATGTGCATTAAAATGATATATAACATAACCATATTTATTTAAGAATGTATTCCAGTATGAAATAGCAAATTTCAATAATGCAAAACAGCAATTACTTTTGAACCAATCTAACACGTGATCAAAATCACAAAGACTTCAAATTTTTTTTTCATATTCTCTAGGGGCTCTTAGATGCTAGAAGTGTTCACAGCCTAGTGCTAAAAGAGTCAACGTTTAATACTGTATTTTACCCTAGACAGTAATTCCGGAGATGTCATTTTTCTGCACCACCTGTGACTCTTTTCCCCTTGGTCTCCAGGGCTGGCCCTTCCATGTCATTGTAAACTGGCCAGGGATTGCAGTGAGATGGTAGCCAGTTGTGATCTAAGAGAGAGAGAAATCTGGGGATATGGAAACCATACACATTAACAGTTTTTCTTTCTACATTAGTCTTTGTCTTAGAAGTGTTCGTTTCTGGGTATATCTGTATCTTCAGGTTCTGCTGGTTATTCGATGAAGGTCTCTAATACATCAAACATTACATGAGGAAATGAACCAGAGTGCTGGAGTGGGCAGCCTTTCCCTTCTTCAGGCGATCGTCCAAACCCAGGGGTCAAACCCAGGTCTCCCGTATTGCAGGTGGATTCTTTACCAGCTGAGCCACAAGGGAAGTCCTTACTGCAGTTGAAGCATTTCTTTTCATGAATTGGTCTCAGCCTATTTGCCATAAAATAAGCAAAGCTGAATTTTTTCCCTGTGAGAGAAACAGCCAGTTTGCTCTGACAAATACTAAAGTGCTCTCAACTGTCCAAATCTAGGGTAAGGAGTGGCATTTCCCAAGGTTTTTTTTTTTTTTAATTTGAAATAATTTTAGACTAACACAAAAGTTTCAAAAATAGAATGTTATTGCATAACCTTCACCCAGTTTCTTCAAATGTTAGCATCTTATGTGAACACCGTGAGGCGAAAGTGAAAGTGTTAGTCGCTCAGTCGTGTCTGACTCTTTGCGATCCCTATGGACTGCAGCCCGCCAGGCTCCTCTGTCCCTGGGGTTTTCCAGACAAAACACTGGAGTGGGTTGTCATTTCCTTCTCCAGGGGATCTTCCCAACCCAGGGATCAAACCTGGGTCTCTTACATGGCAGGCAGATGCTTTACGATCTAAGCCACTGGGAAAGCCCCTACAAAGACGAAGACCAGAAAATGAATGCTCTTCACATTACACAACACTGTTAAGTCATCCACAGATGGATCAGAAGTTCCCCGGCTCCCACGATTACGCTCCGATTCTGCCTCAGAATCCGATCCAGGGGCCACGCGCTGCATCAGTCATCACGTCTGCTTGGGCACGTCAAACTGCGACAGCGTCGGCTTGTCTCTGATGACTCTGACCGTTTTAAGAAAGGTACTGAGTCTTTATGTTGTAGCATAACCTCCGAGGTGGATTTGTCTGAGCTTTTCTTGATTAGATGGAGGTTGTGTCTTTTCAATGACCATGAGCTTTGGGCAAACTCTGGGAGATGGTGAGGGCTGGGGAGGCCTGGCGTGCTGCAGCCCATGGGGTCGCAAAGAGTCAGACACGACTTGGCGACTGAACCACAGCAAGATGTATTGTGGGCAGTATTATTATAGAAGTGGTGCTGTGTGCTTCCTCCTGCGTCGTATCAGGAGGTGCGGAATGCTGACAGGCCTTCTTACTGGGGATGCTGACCTGAATCCTTCGGTCATGACGTTGTCTGCCAGGTCTTTCCAGCATAATCATTCTCCTTGAAGAGCACTGTGCTTCCATTTGTTTTATCCTTTAGCACCCTGCCTGACCCATGCTGGGTGAGCAACAGATGTTAGTTTAAAAAAAAAGTGAATTAAAACTGATGCACCAAATTAGGTCTAGTAGTAGGATTAAATGATTCCACCAATTTTTCTGACTTTTAATTATTTAATTTGTTTCAGAATTCACCACCAAATTCCAACAAAGCTAAACATGAGACTCTGTATCTAAATCACTGCTCTTTGAAAGGTGCCTAAGCCACGCTAAGCAGTTTTGGTACTGGATAGTCTTTCCTGTGCTATTGATTGTCTTTGCTGGTATCATATTTAAAGGTTTTTTGAAATGATTTTTGTATTTCGAATAGGAGAGGCATACAAATAATTTTTTAAAAAGCATAAAAGTGTACAGTAAAAAGCAAATCATTGCTACCTGCTTCTTTGTATCGTGCCAGAGACAGTCTATGCACATACAGGTATCTATTTACATGTTTATATGTGCTTCTGTATCTTTTGTATTACTTTGTAAACACAAATGACATCATGCTCCGCATACTGCTCTGCATCTTAGTTTTAAGTTAACAATATGCCTTGGCAATCATTCATTATTTATTTATTGAGTTTTACCGCATTCCTTTTAGTGGCCAAATGACATTCTATTGCACTTACACACTGTAAATTTTTCATGAATCTTATTGATTTAAGAGCTTATTTATGGTTATTTCTAATATTTTTTGTTTCAAATAATGTTTCAGTGAATATCTTGGAATATACTTTTTGTCTTTTTTGAACTGTTTCTTATTGATTACGGAAGAGTTTATATATACAGGAAGTTATCAACTTGGCAATAATATATGTTTCAAATATTCATTTCAGCTTGTTTTGTATCATTTAGCATTATGATCTTATTTTACCAAGTTTTGCTAATAATAAATTTTCACTTTTTACATATTAAAACCAATGATTCTTTTATTTTCTGATTTCCAAGTTTGGTTAGCACACAGAAATGCATTCTCTACTCTACTCCAAAGCCAAAAAATTATTTCCCTTGGTGAGTTTATTAACTTTGTTTCCATTGAAATAGAAACATTTAAAATTTCATTTTGGTATAAGAAGGAAAGTAGGATTTTATTTTATTTTCTCCAGAAGTTTTCACTGTATCAAAAGCATTAATTGATTCATCCCTTACTGAATAAATGGATGCTCTCTGAACTTCAGCAGATTTCCAAAAGACAAAAGCGTGCCAAGTAGTCACTAAAGTTGACTTAGTCAGGTTGCCATTGAGTTACCCAGATGGAAAGCATTATTAACTTTTATAAAATGTTTTCTTTCCTTACTCCCAGGAATGATCCACCCACATGGTGCTAGAAATTAACCAAATTATACTGCTCTTGAGGAGGGAAATTGCTTGTGAAATTTTGTGGTTGTCATTTCCAGCTAAGCTGACATCAGTGTCATAGGCGTCACACTCATCTGAATCAGTCTCAAGTGTGCTCTGCTTTATTGTTATCGTGACCTTTTTTTTTTTTTCTGTAAAGAAAATTAGGCAAACAAGACATTTATCTTCATGTCAAACTATAACACAGTCTATAACCAGCATGGTCTTTAACTCAGATGACAGTGCTTGGGAATGTCTCTGTTTTGTCTCCATCTCCCAAGCACAGAGCACCGGGGAGAACAATCGTGGAAGGCTACTCCTAAAGTCACTCCTAAGGCGCCTCCTGCTGCTGTTCGCCTCTCTTAGGTGTGTGCTGCGCCAGTCACTCTCCTAGTGAACACGTGCGGCAGAAGAGATGGCGTGTTAGTTCTGAGACAGAAGCTGAGGCTTCGGTCTGCCTGGCGCTCTGCTCTCTTTCTCTCGTGGCCTCGTCTCGCCCATCTTGGCGAGGCCAGCTGCCATGCTGGAAAAGCCTATGCCGAAAAGAAATGAGCAGACTTCGGACGACAGGTCACAGGGAACTGAATCTGCCAACAAGCACGTGAGTGAGCTTGGAAACGATCTGAGCTCCGTTCAACCTTGAGATGACTGTAGCCCCAGCTAACACCCCAGTTTCAGCCTTGAGAGACACCCTGAAGCGGAGCACCCAGCTAAACCATATTCAGATCCCTGATCTATGGAAGTGGAGGCAATAAAGGTTGTTGGGGTAATCTGTTACGTAGCAATGAATAACTATTACAACAAATAAGAAAATGGGTAATGATAGTAAATAATATTATAATCAATTTTTAATATATTAATATAATATTAATAATTTAATCTATTAAAATTATATTCTGGAAAAGATTGAAAACAAGAGGAGAAAGGGACGACAGAGGATGAGATGATTAGATTGCATCACCAACTCGATGGACATGAGTTTGAGCAAGCTCCCAGAGTTGGTGATGGACAGGGAGGCCTGGCATGCTGCAGTCCATGGGGTCACAAAGAGGCGGACACAACGGAGTGACTGAACTGAACTGAACTGAACAATGATATAAAAGAATACAATGTAAATTATAATATTAAAAACCTTATTACTAGTGAGTTGAAATCACTACTCTAAGAATAGTTAGCATATTATTCTATTTCATAGCATGTTATGAAATAAACAATCTCATAACCCATGAGAGAGTTAATACATTTATTTGCATTTTATAAGATGAGGAAACAGAAGTACTGAGATATATGTGTGTGTGTGTTAGTCGCTTAATCGTGTCCAACTCTTTGCGACCCCATAGACTGTAGCCCACTAGGTTCCTCTGTCCATGGGATTCTCCAGGCAAGAATACTGGAGTGGGTTGCCATTTCATTCCCCAGTTGAAATATACAGAAGCAGGATTTGAATTTAAAGACCATGCTCTGAACCACTGTGTTGTATGACTGCACAGACAAAATAAAAAGCAGTTTCATTCTGCCAGCATCACTGGGGTTCCAAGAACATAATGTCTTTGCATAGCAGGGTCCTGCTCCCATCGCCCATGGAGAGGCTTGACTTGACTTTGGCCTTGGTCAGTAGGTAGAGTAAACTCATTCCGAGCTGCCTGTGGGTGTGTCTCACCAGGCACACGGCAGGTATGAAGCGGGCATCTCTGAGACACATAGATGAATGTGTGGTGGCATATTCCATCTCTGCCACTGAGCGATGGTGCTGCTCTCAGAGCTGGTAGCATGCAAGGAGTGTGGGAGCTGGTGAGGTGTTAGATGCACAAATTCCTCCAGCACAGGGGAATTTACTCATCTACGACTCCTCACAATGATTTCTTTGCATAGATCTAACTCTAGGCTCTGCTTATGACAGAAAAATACATGAAGGCCATTTATCATCTTGCATTTTCACTCCATCGCCATTACAGAGGAAGATAATGACTGCAATTTCAGATCCTTTGAACTGAGAGGCAGAGAAAAGTTTTTTCATCGAAATGAGGCTTTTTCTACCATATACTGCTTATGGGGATACAACTCAGACAATCCTCTACGAAGGAAAATTTTGCAGTATATATCAGAGTCACAGATGCACAGTTCTTTTGATCTAGTAATTCTCCTTCAAGTAATTTATTCTAGGTAGATCTGTACATGTGTGAAATGATAATATTTTGGGGAACAAAAAAATAGAAGTAATTTAATTGCCCATCAGTAAGAAACAAGTTTGAATAAATTATGGTATATCCATCCTTTTAAGAAAATACTGTGTAACTAAAACAAAACAAAGGGAACTCTAGATGTGTAGACTTGGAATTATCTCTAGACTATGTTAAGTATAACAGATTAAAAAGAAGAGTATTTTTGTACTAAATTTGTGTTAATAAAAATAGATTGTATATATAGGAGGATTAGAAAGTTTATAGACAAATTCTTTGACCGTCTTCCCTTGAAAAGGCACAGCATAATTTTCTTTGAGTGTGGGAATACATTAGCTACTTGCTTTTACAAACATAAAATAAGTTTAGACTAATATATGATAAACTGAAATCTCTGAGAACCTTGAGGGAAGAGACCTTGGTCATCCAGCACATGGTGAGAACGTGCACATCTCTTACACACACTCTTCAAGCCTCTTGGATTTTGTGATCACCTATTTAAAAATAAAATACAATGAAGCACTAAGCTAGGAACTCTACATTTCACAAGATAAAGTGATATAAACCATTTTTTATTTTCAAATATACCTATAAGTTCCTATAGGTAGTTCACCATCTTAGAATAGAGTGACCAAATGTTTCTGCTGACATCCGAAGGGCCGAATGTTGGTAGAAACCATCCAGGGAAAGAGATGTTTGAAAAATACTACCATCATTTCTTAGGTTCAGATAAGGAGGGAAGAGGGCCACTGCAGGGGAGGAAGGACTGGTGGAAAGAGTGGGCGGGGGGGTCTTACCTTGCTGGCTGTCGGCCCCCCAGGTGTGGGCAGCCGTCCACCAGGGTTACTGAAGTTGGTGTGGCCAGTAGATGGGACCCCTGGCACACCAGAGGCGGGGCTTCGAGACAGCCTGGTCACCCGAAAAAGACTTGGAGGGAAGCACCGAGCTGGGGTAACTGGGCTAAGTGTGGGGAAACTGACAGCAAAAGTGCAGAGGGAGAAACAGCATGCTGCATACCCTCATCACGGATGGCAACAAGCTATCAAGGAACAGATTTTCTTTCCATTTGTTCCTGTTGGACACACGTAACCCATTTGCTTTGCAAAGCAATTTTAGAGTGCTGTTTATGGTAAGATATAAGGTGCGTGCTTAGTCGCTCAGTTGTGTTCGGTTCTTTGGATGCTCTGGACTCCCGCCTATAGCCGGTCAGGCTCCACTGTCCATGGGATTCTCCAGGCAAGAGCACTGGAGAGGGTTGCCAGGGGGCCTTATGGCAAAAAGTCTCTCCCAAATTCATGTGTGGATTTAAAGCTATTCCAATCTGAAAATGTTGCATTTGTTTTTAGAGGTACCTATTCCTCCATTTGTAATTCCAGAGCAAAGAAATCTTCCTCGTAGGCATCTTAAATGGATTTAATGAAACAAAACCTCAGGTGACTGAGGGCCAGCCTTGTCCCCACTCCCCTTCTTAGCCCCAGCACCCTCGTTTCCTCTCCTCTGCCCCTCACGGCCATCCTGCCTACCACGCAGCACAGTCATCTCTGTGCATCATTCTATTAAGTGCCCAGTGTTGTGTGAAGGAATCTTAGAAGGTGAATCATACTCAGTTTTGGGGTTTGTGAGGGCATCCTCACGGGTCATCTGGAAGAAGGTTCATACAACTGACTCACGGCGGCACAGCAAGCAAGAGGCAGGGTCACGAGGAGACAAAGTCAGGCTGCTCATCTCCGCCCCCTGTTCCTCTGTGGTCTTGGATGAGGGCATCTGGAGGTTGCCTAGGCAACTGCAAACATCACTGGAATGCCTTTGCTTAGGACTGCACCCTTGGCTGTGTTTTTCTGTGTAGGTAGCACAGTAAGGTGGATTAAGCACTTATGCTCTGGAGTTAGATATCTGAGTTCAAATTCAAGTTCTACCATTTAACTTAACATTAGGCAAGTAAGCGAAACTTTCTGTGCTTCCATTAAAATAGGATCATAGGGTCGTAGGGGGAAATGAATGAAGCAACACACGGAAGTCTTGGAAAAATACTAGATACATGGTTCAATTAACATTCTATTAATGTTGTCTCTTTTTATAATAGCTTACAATGAAATTCACAAACACCATCTTGCTAATCTTAACAATACCTCTGTAGACAAATTTTAAAACTCAATTTAATGCCTAATGAAATTGTGACTTAACTTGCTGTAAATAATAATAATAATGATAATAGCAAGCACCAGTTTCTTACTTACTGTGTACTTGGTACTTTACAAATGTTAACCCTTTCAGACTTCACAATATCTATAGGGATGACAATATTCTTATACCCATTTTATAGATTGGGAAAGTGAGGCAAAAGTTAAATATTTTAGTCAAGGTCACATAACAAATGAGTAATCATAGCCAGAATGTAAATCCAGACAATCTGGATTGGGAGCCCCTACTGTATTCACAGCCCTATCTGACTTCCCTCAAGCATAGACACCTACTGTATTCACAGCCCTGTCTGACTTCCCTCAAGCATAGACAATTATTGTATTCACAGCCCTATCTGACTTCCCTCAGGCATAGACAGTAATACGAAGAGGATGCTCCATGCAGATCCAGCAATTACACTGTCAGAACAGTCAGCAAACTGGGGTCCAAAGGAGAAGTAACCATCATGACTCTACGCATCCATGTTCCTATTTTGTGAGTCTTGGTTAGACACTAATACATCTTTTTTTTGGTAATTTTATTTATTTTTAATTGGAGGATAACTGCTTTAAAATGTGTTACTTTTCTCTGTACAACAATGTGAATACGCTATGCGAGCAACATGCTAAATCACTTTGGTTGTGTCCAACTCGTTTTGACCCCATGGCCTGTAGCCAACCAGTCTCCTCTGTCCATAGGATTCTCCAGGAAAGAATACTGGAGTGGGTTGCCATGCCCTCCTCCAGGAGATCTCTCCGACTCAGGGGTTGAACTCGCATCTCTTACATCTCCTGCCTTGGCAGGCGGGTTTTTTTACCACTAGCACCAAATGGGAATCAGTGATAAGTGTACATATATCCACTCCTTTGTGAGCCTCCCTCTCCCTCCCCCAACCTACTCCTCTAGGTTGTCAGAGAGCACCCAGCTGAGTTCCTTGTGCAACACCGCTGCTTTCCGCTAGTTATACATTTTGCACACAGTAGGATTAGTGTGTTAGTCACTCAGTCGTGTCTGACTCTTTGCGACCTCAGGGACTGTAGCCTGCCAGGCTCCTCTATCCATGGATTAGACACTGACAAATTTTGATGAACTGTATCAGAAACAATCACTTAGTAAAACCTGGCTTTCCTCTCGTCAGACAAGTTTTAAGATATTGAAGTAAGGCCAAAAACAGCAAGGTTTTTACGATTA